CTGAAGATGGTGCCAAGCTTCTGGATGCGTGATATTATTCTATCGAGCTAATTTCGCCTTAATCCTCTCGTTGTTAAGCTGCGCTCTCAATGGTCTTGCTGCTAACGTTTTCCTACGCCCATTGAGACGCTGATAGACACGTGCTTGAACCAACGGGTGGTTGGTGTTCAAACAAGTGCTCCAAAAGGAGCTGCAGTCTCCCACCAACCCTCCCCATCGAACTGATAGGAAATTGATATATGTCTGTCTTTATCAGAGTTGAGATCGGTGGACGCTGTCAGAAAATGTCTGTCTTTATGTGTCAAGTTTGTGCTGACTAGAATTAAGTGGTAGTCTGAGCAGTAGGGAATCTCCGTTATCCGTTCGTCCGACTGGGATTCAGAAAGTAACACCTAGGTGCCTTTATGCCTGCTCATTTTTTAATTGTAAACGCCTGCAACAACTACATCGTCTGAGCAATTGGGTTTGAGTAGGAGGCTAGACAGTCTTCAGCAGAACCCATCCTTCACTTCAACCGAACTCCAGTAGGTGGGTGCGTAATCAGGGATTACAAACAGACAACAGCGAGTCCGACTATTCATTTTTGTCCTGACTGTGCCGTTCAGTTGAACAGCACACAGGGGATTGACAACTAGGATACAGTTCAGCAGAGAACTTTCTGCTTTAATGTTCAGGGCTATACAGACACCTGCTACACTGCGAGAACTTGCCATCGAATCTCCAGAAACTCGAAGGGTGGATTTCGCAGATTCATCATATTTGCCAGGTGAAATTAAGCGCACTTGAGTTCTGTATGCGTGTCTCACAAACAGCACACATCCATGGCCCGAGTTGTTAAGGTTTTGGCTAGTGAATCTTGTTGGCCAACTTAATGGAGGATCCCAACGCTGAAAGCTTCAATATGTAGTTTCGAGCACGGATTCAGGAGAGCGAAGTTACTGTTCTGTGAACTCAAATCGTCGTCAAGAGCTACAGAGCAGGGAGAAATTAAAGATAACGTACGATAATTGACTGAGAGATGTGAAAGAAGATTAGAAGGTAAGGATATGAGCCTTCGACAGTAATCTGATAGAGTTGCGAGGGCGGTTAACATTTCCAGGCTCCCCAGTGTGGAAGGATAGTTACTTCTCTTTGAGGTACGTGAGAAAAAAGGGACAGGAAGTGACCGCAGAGCCCAATGGACATCCGCTAGAGGCTGGTCACACAACCTACCTGCGAATCCCTGCCACGGGCATCAGCATACGAAGGGAGGATAAGGATGTGCTATTTAGAATTGAGTTTTTTCTAAGCCCCATCCCTCCCGACAAAGAAGGCAGCATCCGTGCTGGACTGCGGGTCGTCTAGGCGAAACACTTCACTGCTGTCACACTCCCGTCCAGTCAACAGTACGACTTCGCTCTGAGACCCCCGTCATAGCGAAGTAATTCAAACGATAACTTCTTTTTGTCTTACCAATATCTAGACGACCTTTTAGGCTTGGTAGGGGCCTCAAGAAAACAAGCATTCCAGCCAGACCACGTCAAGGAAGCAGCTATCGGTCGGATGTTTCTGAGACACAAATACGACTGGAGAGTGGTCGTTAGCTTGACAGTTTTCCAATGTAGTGGATCTGCATCATTAACTGGGCGAGTGTCCGGAGCTTTGGTGGTTAGTTCTTATTGATTCGCTGGTATGCATGACGAGAAAGTGCACCTGTTGACTGAATACAAGCGAACCGCGTCCTAGGTGTTGTCCGAATGGATGGATCTGTAAAAACTGGAAGAATTGTGGGACTTGATGATGCTTATTCGTAATCTGTGTACACACACCTACTCACTGAAGTCTGGATGATGCAGAAGTGTATTATATCAAAAGCTATCATTTCTTTTCACAGTAACAGCTGACATCAACAGTCAAGTAAGAAAGGTGAACCGGAAGAAGAGACATTGGACGGCTAACTCGACGACGAACTGGTGTGAATACTATGTGAATACGACAATACCAATCATCTGGAAGAGGCCTACCGCTGTCTTCAATATCCTGTAAGGACAGTGTTGAAGACCACGTCTATCTATCAAAGAGAGGTGAGAAAGTTTCAGTGGAACTCACCAGCATCTCAAGGATTACTGCATGCACGGCGACGCATTCCTACAGGCTCCGAGAACAAGGAGGAGGAGTGTAAGCCACTCCAATGTAGACTGGCAAGAATTCTACACAATGAACGCAAGCATTGCTGGGTGGCGAATATTAGAGATGGAGATGGAGTGGGCCTTGGAGATAGGTACTAGCGGACAGTTATTTAAACTGAGCAAGGAAATTGGTGCAGACAGGTGAATGGCTAGATGGACAACAGGGAGGAAGAATGGGTCTGCGATTCACTGGCAAACGACTGGAAGGATGGACAGAAAACTTGGAGAAACTGTTTGACGAGCCTCCGGTGTCCCGCCATTCAGTCGAGTCCAGAATGGGACAGGCCTTTCCATGGTTGCAAAATTTGAGAAGGTTGTAGGCAACCCGAGACGAGGAAGGGCAGCAGGGCCAGATGTACTAGTTTTGGAGGTATATTTCAGGACGGTGGTCGAAGATTATCAGCCGGGCTAACCGAAGTGTTAGCTAATACATGGCAATCCAATATGAACCTATAATGCTGGTGTCAATCAGAATGATTATCCCCATATGATGACCACAAAGAACAATCGGACAAACATGGTGTTCAAGATTCTGGATTCACTAATCATTAGACGACTTAGTGAAGATCGGGAACAGAAAACTCGAGAGGGCAATTCATGTTACAGATCTGGTCATGGGTGTATAAACCAGATAATATTCAGCCTGCATCAGATGTCACGCACTTTTGTGACTAACCCAACTTCCTTTTCAGATAACTGAAGCAGAAGTGACCTTCTTCGGTGTGGCCAGCAGGTAAGTGACAACCAAGCTTACAACTCTTTCAGTACTCATGTCATATCAACCTTCCACATCTTCGTCTTCTCTAGTCTTTCTCTTCACGTCTCTTGGTCAATATTCTTCGTATGCTGTCTTTAACTTGAAGATTGCTGCTGCTTCTGGAGGACGTTTTTGCACAGCGACCACATGAATGTCTGAGCCTAAATGGACGTGACACAACTACAGCAACGAGAGAGATTAAAGAACGCTATGTGGAAGGTTGATAATAGGAAGGAAGCTGAGAGTTGTGTGCGGTTGACACTTCCCACCTGGCCACAACGAGAGAGGTTACTTCTTTTTCTTCAGTTACCTGAAAACGAAGTTGGATTAATTATATTGGTGTGTAGCCACAGAAAGCATGGGATTCATTCTTTCTGCAGGTCCCAAATGGGCTTTAGCTCCATCTTTGCTGATTTCGACTGCAACGAAGAGCGTACACCGACATTTTAAGACTCCTAGATTGGTGGTTTTTAAGTAGGCCCCTTTCTCGTACGGATGTTTGCATGGTACTTTTAATCTTCTGTAGAAGCGTCTTACTGGAGCCAATAGGTCGATTTCATCCTCTTACCTCTATCATAGGTTTACCACCAACAGTAGGACGGTAATCCGTTTTTATCTCACCACTATTCAGTGAACTTTTCTAGCACGGCAGGGACTCGGGGAACAGGTGCATCGCCAGCATAGTTCGTTGAATTATTGCAATACCTATGGTCAATCACTAAGACAAGGAAAGTTGTCGGTAGTTCGAATGTTAGTAACCATCATCCGATGCGTCATGTTCATGAGAGAGATTCATGGAGTACATAGTAATTGACTTAAGAGCTGGAAGCTCTTGTGAGGTGCAGATAATTATTGATATTTTTTATGCCGAATTTGGCAACGTGGCGAATTTCCAATACATGTTTAACATGCGTGATGGAATATTTGCGCATAGGTTTTGGTAACAGGTTAGTGAGGAATTTTAATAAGTCGCGAGGCTATATTATATATAGTATCCGTTGGTGACGGTGACGAACTGGAATATTCATTCTCATAAAGTAAGCCTAGCTGAACTTAGCTGGTACCCTGATGGATTTGATGAGAGTGGTTGAATCGTTACGTGCTCACCTGAAGGTCTGATCGTCCTGGGTTCGGTCTGTGGCAGGGTCATGGGTGCGCACGACTGAGTAGTCTTATACTAGAACGAAACACTTGTCCACAGCGCACAGATTTTCCACAATTCTTCAACTGATATCATCAATTCGTGATGAGTATCAGCAAAGACGTATATGCAAGCTATGCCATAATTAATGTAAATTATTTGAAATGATAGTCTTCGCATTTAAACCAACGATATATCTATCTACTGGTGAAGAAATCAACCGACAATTAGATTGAAATTTCCCGGTTAATCAGTAACAACTTGCTAATACATATACTTAGCAAATTTCATTCATCAATGAAAATGACATTACGATATCTGTGTACGGTTGTGTGTACGTGTGATACTTGTGGGTAAAATCAACAATAATAATAATGGTAACAATAATGATGATGGTAACAAAAACAGCAATAATAACAATTTCAATAATAATAGGAAGCAATAACAATAATGTCGATAAATTAGTAAAGAAATAGATATATGAGTACTTGTACAACATTGAAGAACAACAGGTTATGTGCGTGTATATATATATATATATATATATATATATATATATATATATAATTATCATGAAATAAGCAAGAAATCGACTGTGAGAACCGCATTCGACAAATACAACGGTGCCACAGACAGTCTAGTATGACACTAATACTCATAGTGCTGATAGCACAAATGTAAATAAATGCTTGATGCCTGAAAAGTCGGCTTGTTCCACAGAAGAAGTGTTGTATTCCAGAACGATTTAAATTGACAAATATCACCGGAAAAAAGAGAAAAGAAAGTTAGCGGACACAATGAAGTGAAAAGTACCATTCAAACAAACAAAACTCTGATGAATATATATATATATATATATATATATATATATATATATATATATATGACGCATAATATCAACAAATCTGATTTAATTGCTGATTATTTCCTGTTATTAACAACAATGTCGTAATGATTCTAATCGTGCTACTAATTTCAATGCTGGACCAATTTTCATACCAATCGGTGGTTGAATAAATTGATCTTCTGCCAGCAGGAGTAAGGCTTCACCATCAATTTCATTATTTAAAAAGGCTGATGCATACGCTCCACATCCAGGTGTACCACGAACAAACGCGACTACATCATCTGGTGTCCATTTATACACTGGACCTTTAGGTGGTGGCGGCGGTGGAGTAGTAGGTGTTAGGCGACTGGAAGTTGTACAGGACTGTTGTGACACATTCAGCATTGTTTGACTGATATTTAAACGTGGTTGACATGCTGACTGATTGACTGCATTCACCATGGATACGACAATAGTCTATTGTAGGATATGAAAAAATCAATAATGAAATTAAACTTCAAACACTGGCAAGACAATATGACAAAAATGAAAGATGGACACTGGCTAGTAGTGGAATTCAGAACATAAGCGTTTCATCCTATCAGTGAGCGATGTTGTTCGCGCCAGGACTCGAACCCGGGAACGGTCGCTTCAAACCTCAGGGCGTTATCCACTAGGCCACCGAGTCACGATGGTCACTTCTTTTGAGGCAGGTGTAGTTCTCAGGGTCTCAGTGGGAACAACATCGCCCATCGTATGGAGCAAGTGGATCCAACGTATGAGTCCCAAACTAAACGAAACGTTTGTGTCATGGGTTCCACTGCTAGCCAATATCTATCATTAGTATGAAGTTGAAAATACATGCAACATCGAGGTATTCGCATAGAAGCCCATACAGCAGTGGACACCAATCAATTCGGTCCAAACAATGACGAGAAAATACAAGTAAAATTTTTTAAAAATTATGACAACTAATAAGTACATCCGGCTGACGAGTCTCAAAGTGGACGAAACGCGCGTCCTGGATTACTCTGCAAGCCATAATCAAGTAAATTATCATAAGACAACTGATATGTCTAAAATCCTATCAGTCAAACATAAGACAGAATGTATAGGCGCATATTTATTACTTGTTTCCGACACCTCAAAAAACGATTGTGGAATATTTTCACGCAAAAATGATACATCTATTTGTGTCAAGTTCTGTGCTAACAACAGAGATTTCAAAAACAGGGACGTAGTAAAACCAATATATGCCTAACTGTTCCAATAAATCTCATAAGTGTTATCCATCATGTGTTATGGCATTCAGTAAGATTTCTAAGATCCTTGAAAGGACCCCTAAATCCCTGTAACCTTTTATAACCAAACATTTTGCTCCGATATTTAGAGAAAGGGCAAGAGGTCACACTCGTTGGTTGAAGAAGTAAAATCACTTGGGAACATCATTTTAAAACACGAAAATAGCCAGTTTACTTTCGTAATAGATGTATAGAAAGGTTATAACTTCATAGGGACTGATCTGCTCCGTAGAGGTCACCTGGTTGACTTGGACTGCTCAGACGATATTATCCTGCTAGGTGAAGATCCTGACAAAATTTAGGCACGGATTTCTAAACAAGGTGAGCAGAAATCTAAGTACATTTGACAGGCATGTGTTTTGCACCTGTCGAATGCAGGATGATGCTCCAGGATTGGTCAACTGCAAGTACTCTCAGTTTAATGATAAGGAGTGAAGCGTTGTAATATGCCGACCACTTTATTTGCGTCAGTTTAAACGGCCTGGTCGCTGACAAAATCTTGACTCGGACACAGACCACTTCACTTACTTGGGGAGTTGCATCAACCAGAATGTATACAAAAAGTCCGTTTGCTATTTGACAAATCGTGTCACCTGTTGCAACAAGTGGTGAGATAACCGATTATCTATCAAACGAAAAGTATATTGCGCTACAGTCCTTTATGTCTTATGGTACGGCTGTGACACAGCCATTGAAAGTATAGAGCATAAAGCAGTTGCAAGGTTTTGACCATAGGTGTCTTCGTAGCATTTCTTGCGTCTAGTGCGATCACCGTGTTAGCTATGTTGAGGTCAGATGAAAAGTACCAGGCAAGAAAACAAGTCAGTTGATGAGGCTGTGAACCTTCGTCGACTGAGATGGCTTGGACATGTACTGCGTATGACGAGGCACTGTTGATCTCGATCGTGTGAGGGAGATGTAGACTACCTGACCGGGGTGCTTGAGACGAAAGGAACCAGTGGTTGAGCGCTGACTCATGGTGAGATGGCTGCAAATCGGCCACAATGGTGCAGATGTATTCACTCCTTGACGTCTTCTAAAGCTTGATTATTCGCACCTACTAGCTAACTTTATCTTCCAACTGTGTGTGTATTCTCTCACAGCACTTTATCTCCTTTTATATCACCTATTTTCTATCCACCTGTTCTTTGTATACTGCTGTGAAGTGTGGCAACTTGAGCCGATGCACGTGTGTGCGAGGTTCTAAGTTGATTTTATCTGTCTGTCCGCCTGGGTGCGATCCCTGGTGTGGTCATGGGTGCGCACTGCTGAGGAGTTCCATACTAGTGGGATGAAACAGCTGCTGTCTAGTGCTCCCAGGTTTCCAATGTTTCTCCGACTGACGTCAGTCCATGGTGAATATATGAAGTCAATAAATCTCCACAAACCTCAAAATTGAATATATAAATATATGCATGGTTCGGTTTCTAGGTATTATTATTGATTGGCTGGTAGATCGTTTATCTGTCTAACTACTCATGTGATTAACATAAAGTGCAGTTTGATTGGTCCATTTCCAGACTCGTCTTTTCTCTATTTACCCCCTTAACAGGTAGACTTTCAGTCAATCTACTGACGTTTGGAACAATTAGGTTGTGGTAACATCAATCTTCACTAAACAGGTATGACCCACTGATTTATGTAAAAAACTTGCAAGCAATTGTTGGTTTATATTAACATATTTTGACGTAGAGTGTAAACTGAAGTAGTAGGTTTTAGTTTAGAGGAAGGTTAAACGTGGTCAGACTAAGATATGTCACTTGTCAGTTTACACTATCAACGAGATATTTCAATGCCTATCTTATATAATAGTTCATTCTCGCCCAAATTACGACTGTGAGAAATGTGCACTGTAAGCAGAAAACATGTAATGTGTGTCACGAGTATTTTCAAAAAACACTCAAATATGCTCAATCTAATCTACAAAAAGACGTTAGGGCATGGGTTTTACCCAAGAAGATTAAAAAAATCAATTCCCGGTATGATTGGAGATAATAATTGTTTGGAATTGTGTTACGCATATCCACGTACAATTGAAATCTAAAATAAGATGAATTCCAACTTACCCAGTACAGGACTGAATTTCATTCAGCGGCTTATTACTACTGTTCATTGGCATCAAAGATTCACAATACAGAGATTGAGCAACTGAAGAAGAGTAGTGTGAACGATTTTCACACGTGAATTTATCCATTTTACCGTCAACGCTCTGATCAAACCCGTGTGCAATTGATGAGTTTTTGCTCAGGAATCGATACAATAGGTGACTGAGAGTAGACAACACTAGCTGAATGTCGGTTGGCTAGAGACAATATTGTAGAATGTGGATAAGAGGACAAAATGCCTTGTGTAGATCTACAAGAAGTGGTTGATGCTTAATGAGAGACAAAAAAATATTGAAGAAATAAAATTGAATCAGTCTAAAAGCTTAACAAAGAACGACCAAATAAACCTCAGAACCAAACCTGGTTAACTAGTTCACCAGTTGCTACCCGGTCCTAATCCCGGATAAAGAGTGAAGGTCAGGCATAGGGCTAGCAACCCGACCCATAAAACCAATCCAATCGCCAAACAAACTTCAAAGCACAAAGAAATCATAAAAAGCAAAAACAAAATTATTCCTCGTTGGAAGCGGAGAGATGAAATGACGCCGGTTGGTGAAAGCCTTCGGGAAGCCAATTGACCGATGTGTCTTCGCCTCTCTCGATGAAAGCGAAAGTAAGAATGGGGACATGGAATATCCGAACAATATTTGAAGCTGGCTGGCAAGGCTGCACAGATTGTAAAAGAGATGAGAAGGTGTGACATTGAAGTGCCAGGCTGGGAATCTGCGAAAGTAGATGGAATGGAAATGGACTCTCCAAACTGCCAACTGGAGAGTCAGTAATCTACTCCGATATTCTCACCCAGACAACAACCACGAGCACACTGAGTTTTCGAGTGGCTATCATGATGTCTCCAAGAACATCGAGGGCTCTCTTTCATGCAGTGGGAACCAATCTCCTTCTGCAGGATCAGGATCATGACAACAAGATTCAAGTGAAAAGGAAGGAAAGTCACAATCATACAATGCTACGCTACACACCTACAAATAATGCAGATCAAGAGAGGAGGGAGGAATTCTACAGACAACTACAATCAGTAATGGACAAGACCACACCCCAGTTGGCGATGGCGACATCAAAATTCATTCTAATGTGTGGGGTGACATGAATGCCAAACTGGGAGCTGACAACACAGGAACAGAACTCATCGTGGGTCGAGAGGCACTCGGTGAAATGAATGAGAATGGAGCACTCTTTGCAGACTTCTGCGCATTCAACGATTTGGTGATTGGAGTCAGGCAGTGTGTACAAACACAAGCATATTCACAGGGCAGTGACATGGATTTCACCAGATGGACACACTACACTAAAAATCAGATCGACTTTATCTCAATGTGAAGAAAGTGGAAACACAGACTACTGGACACAAGATCAGATCAAGAAGGGGAACAGATGTAGGTTCATACCACTCACTATCTAGTGCAAGGAACCTTGAAAATCAAGATGAAAACCTTCAAAGAAGTTGGTGATAGGCCACAGTTCAAGTTGAACACCCAGAACAGAAACTGAAGGACGAAACCACAAAGGACATCTTCACATCAGTCAGCCATCAGAACAAAACGGAAGACATTGAGCAACATTCCTGAAGGATCGGGCGTGGAAGAACACTGAAACTCTTTGAAAGCTATGTGGAAAGAAACCTGCATAACCGCATTAGGAAGGAAGAGGGAACAAGACAAGGAATACGTCTCCACGGACACATGGGAGCTGGTAGAGCAGGGAGAGAAAGAGGGTGAAGCAGAAGATGAACAAGTGCAGTGCAGTGCAGTGCAGTGCAGTGCGGGGATGAACAACAAAAAGAGGAACTAAACACAACCTATAAAACACTACACTGGACAAAGAAGTGAAGAAGAGTGCGCGCAAAGACAAAAGACACTTCTACGACACACTGGCAGGTGAAGCACAACACGCTGCAGGTAGGAGAGACAGACACCTGACAACACTATATCAAATAACCAGGTTACTATCTGGGAGGGAAGAGATCAACGCAGACGAAACCAATGAAAGATAGTGAAGGAAACCTAGTTATTATCACCAAAGAGGAGAAACAAAGGAAATGATGGGCTGATCACTTCAAAAAGCTCTTGAATCGACCACCAACACCACCTGCAACTCGTCCAGAAATACCATCAGCATCCCAACCACAGAACTACCAGTGAACACAAGCCCTCCGACCAAAGCAGAAGTCCTGAATACCACGAAGGAGCTGAAATCTGGGAGAGCAGCAGGACCAGATGGAATTCCGCCAGAAGCACTGAGAGCAGACACAGAGACAACAACGGACACGCGCACACCACTATTGCTGAAGGTCTTCAAGGAAGGAAGGAAGGAAGGAAGGAAAGGTACCTGCCAACTGATTGGAAGAAGGGCTACCTTATCAGTGGACTCCTGAAGAAGGGAGACCTCAGTCTTAGCAACAACTGGCACGGAATCATGCTCCATCCTTGTCCACTTAATGCAGAATATTAAGCCGCATCAACCTGGAGAGACTAGAAGATGCTCTCAATCAAAAATTACGACCGGAACAGGCTGGATTCAGGAAGTACAAATCATGTGCGGATCAAATTGCAACGATTCGTTATGCACCATCATAGAACAGAGTATAGAATGGCAGTCAACTCTCTACCTCAACTTCATCGACTTTGAGAAGGCCTTCGACAGCGTCGACCAAGAGGTAATTCGCCAGGTAGCTGCTTCAACACTACGGAGTGCCACAAACCTGTATCAACCTCATTCAACATGCCAAGTAATTCACAATGGAAAGCTCAGTGATGCCTTTGAAGTATACGCAGGAGTAGGACAAGGCTGCCGCCTACTATCACCCATCATCTTCCTGATTGTGGTCGACTGGACCATGCAACAAACTGTGAGGAGCGAGAAGATGGACATACGCAGTCTGGACCGAGGAAAATACTCTAGGAGATCTGGATTTCGCCCATGTGGAACTAAACCAAAGATCCACAGGCGAAAACCAACAAGTTGACAGAAGAGGCAGGGCAACGAAAGAAGACGGGACTTCAGGTGAACGTGGAGAAGACAGGGGTGATGAAGATATCCAACCAACAACAGCATCAACAACAAGCACTAACCACCATCAACGGGAAAAACCGAAAGGAAGTTGTCGCTTTCATCTACCTACTTACCTACCTACCTACCTAGGCAGCATCTTCTCAACTACAGGCGGCCACAGCACAGATGAGGGTGTCAAAGCCAGGATCAGGAAGACAGCAAGATAGGCCTTCACTAACCTGAAACCAGTATGGAGATCTACTGCACTCCGCATAAAGCGTGAACAACACCCGGATTTTCAACACTAATGTCAAGTAAGTCAGTGCTTCTATATATGGTTCAGAAACTTGGCACATCACGAGAAGCATTTCCAACAAACTATAGACACACGTCACGTCAACAGCTGCCTACGCTCACCCGATACTGAAGATCAGATGGTCAAAATAATGAGAATAAGCAACTCTGGCAGGCATGCAGACAGGCTGGCTGGCAACCAACCAACTAACCGAGAACCCATCGCTCGACAAATATGCAGAAGAAAGTGAAGATGGATTGGGCATTCATTGAGGAAACTATTCGGAGACATCATGCGCTAGGCCTTCGTGTGGAATTTAAAGGGGAAACGACGAGTTGGGCGTCCGAGGGTGACATGGAGGAGATCGTGTGAGGGAGAAATGAAAGCGTATGGGCAGTGGTGGAGCCAGGTTGAAAAAACTGTAGAGAACAGAATGCAATCGAGGCGTGCTGCTGAAGCCCTATATTCTGTTAGAAACTCAACGGAAATGAAATAATAAAGGGAACATCAAAAAGGAGTTAATCTTAACCTATTCAATGTCGTCACTGGTTAACTGTCCTCATGTTCGACCCCATCCGTTACGACTTGTCGGAACTTTGGGAACCACCTTTCGAAGCTATTCACGAATGAGGACTTGATTATTTCAATTTTGAGGTTTGTAGGGACTTATTCATTGATTTAAGGCTGGTATTTATTATGAAATGGAGAATCATTGAGAACCTGAGAGTGCTGGACAGCAGCTGTTTCGTCCCACTAATATGGGACTCCTGAGCAGCGCGTGCCCATAACTCCGCCTTGTCAAGGAGGGGACCCAGGAGCTTCACCTTCTGAGGCCAGCACGTAGCCATTGAGTCGAGATCCAGTGGTGCATATTTCCTACTTCTGTCAGTTCACGATAAAGTGCAACCTCCATCAAATGCTGCCGTGTACAACTTGGTTTACCCCACCGACCCCTGACGACACCGAGTAAAGGCGACTGGAGAAACAGTGTCGGACGCGACTCTTCGGTCGTTCTTAAGGTCGTCAGAGTAAAGTCAACCCGCAACTCATGTAGGCTTAATTTCAGCACCCTCAGATCCCTTGGCGAGCAAATGACAATAATACTTCAACATCTTATCCAATTCAGAAAGAACATTCGATAATACTAGACCATATTCATCATATTCTGCTCTTAAACTCATGCAGACGTTTGTTAAACATCCACCGTCAATGTGTATAGCAATTTTATTTTGTTTTATCTGAGGATTGTGAAGCAATAAGTCAGATAATATACTATCAATCATTTATCCAATTATGTGATTCCGCACCCACCACCTTTAATAACAATACTAGTAGGTAGCGGAGTAAATCGAAATTAGCATTTCAAGCCATCAGCCGTAGGGTAGGAGTTTTACAACTCAACTTTGTTTCATTTTACCGTGTGTGGGCGGAAAAAACCTTATTGCTGTTCAGTTGACCAATCAAAATAAGTATTCAACTTGTGACCTAGTGTGGCTTTATTTTCTGAAGAAAAACTGTATATAAAAGATGCCAGATGCAATTTACTCCTAGTTTGTTTTTGTTTCTTTCTTGAAAAAAACTTACAATAATTCTCATCATGTGTGTCGTTGGATAAGTCGACTGATGATCCACGTTGTGTTTGATAATTTGACATCCGAGTCAAATTGGGAAGTTTTTTTGATCCCATCTGTTGTATAAGTTTATCGCCATCCATAGAAAAGGCATTTGATACTTTCAACGGGTTTTTCTGATCACAGATAGATTTGGAGTGACGATTGTGGAGAATAACGGTGAACACGGAGAACTGGATTGCTTAGTATTATCATGATTGCCATCCGCATAGCCATTCACCAACGACGTTTCTGGTGATAGTGAGGATTTAGTCTGACAGGATAGCCGTTTACTAAGAGCTGCTTCAATTACTGACATACCATTTCTTACCTAATAAGGCACATACAAAAAAATAGATACAAATAAACAACAATTCAGTGCTCAGAAATATTTGATGATGAATCAGTAGACTTTGAGTCTCTTAGCAGTAGAACTCAGGACATATGCATTTTGTCAAACTTGGGACTCATCAGCTGAGTGTACTTGCATCATCCCCTGGGACTCGAAACTGGGACCGATCGCTTTAAATCCCAGGGCGTTATCCACTAGGCCATTAAGGCCACAATAAGCACTTCCTGTGCGACGGGGTAAAAAGCAACATATCACAAGTTTGTTTATGAGAATCGCTGAAGTCACACTTTGTGGTTATCGGTCAGGCTAACTGGTGTTAGCTAGTACAAGGCAATCCAATATAATCTTGTCTGGCTGCTTGTCGCCGTAAGATAAAAAGATAACAAACCCTCGTGTGATAACCATAGGGGATCGATCCGACGAACACAGCGCCTAACACTCTGGGTTCACTAATCATTAGACGACTAAGCGGCAGTCAAGAACAGCAAACCAGAGAAAAAAAGGCAGGTTACAGAACTGGTCATGAGTGTACCAACCAGTTATTCACCCTGAGTCACGTTCTGGAACACGAGGCCACAGACTGATGCTAGACATATTTATCGACCTGAAGGTGGCATTCGACTCCATCGATCAACATGTCTTACCGAAGGATCTCACATAAAAAGGGGTACCGGGTGAACAGATCACTCGATTAGAAGAACTGTACTCACGAACACCGGTGGGCGTATCAAAACCTGTGGTGAATTGTGTATGTCGTGTGATGTCAGCAGAAGGGTGTCCATTCTCTCCAGTTTTATCATAGACGTTCATATGGAGATCTCTGTCTCATCGTCACACAAGACTCGTTCGTAGACCTAGAGTACGCTTTGTAAAGACGCAGATAAGATGCAGAGACTTCTGGGCACCTTGAGCAGCAACTTCAGAATGTTTGGGATTCATTTCCCATCATCTAAATGAAAATAGTTGCCCCAGAAGTGTTCTTCCCTGATACCCTGTCTAACAATTGGCAGTGAAATGGTTGAGACCGCTTCCACTTCATTTATCTGAGAAGTTGAACCAACCCCCTGGCCGCACAGTGACCGATGAAATATTCACATGGATTAAAAGGAATTGATTAGCTTTTGTCAACTTACACTATATATGTAGCACTACGGCGATGTACTATTGCCTACTGAGATAGTCGAGTGTACTGGTGCTGCAGCTCGCAGTGTTCTACTATGTAGCTGTAAACCATAGCCATTAAAGGTAGATGATATCGGGTTTTAGGTATCAGGCTAGTGTAGCCACAACATGAAGAGGCTTCAGGTTTTCACGTAGTCACCTGCCTAGCTAGAGCACAATGTGGACTGAAATAAGCTCAGGCTGGGAAATTGTTGGAAGTGATCGGAATAAAGAGCAGTATCTATCCATAGTCTGACGGTTAGTTTGAGGTATGTATAGTAATGTGAAATTTTAGATCGGACTTGTTGGAGGATTACGCAGTAATGCCGGGTCCTACGTTGATTTTTCTGTCTATCTGTCAACAATACTGTCTCCAGTTGATGAAAAAAGAAGCAATACACATAGCACTTAAACCAAGTTTTACTTACCGGAAACGGTTTATCACTTTCATAAATAATATGACCATCAATGTAATGAGTCAATATTCTTCTATCATCTAGACCGATTAGTACAGGTGGTGGTGGGAACTGGAACGGTACTGTTGACTTCAATTTAGGATACAGAGTACTAGTAGTGGTAGTATTAACGCCAGAAGCAGCTGTAATCACCGGTGTCCGTTGCATATCTATTGATGATTCCACAGGTTTTGAATATACCAGATTAGTTGCCTCCAATTTTTCAAGTTCATTCGTCTGATGACCTATATCTGCGTTGTGTACACCGTCAGTATTCTCACCTGAGAGTTCATTATCATCAACCAGCTTTGTTTTCTGAGGTGAACATGGCAGTGACGTTGGGGATAATACACCAATATTACTATTAATATTATTACTGCCATCATCACTGGAGTCATTAGCGGCGTTGAATGCGTTCTGAGCATCTGCGATTGATGAAAAAGTTATTTTTGAGGATGATGATGCAGGCATTGTCGTTGTAGAGCTGTTAACAAACGAGGCGCATGATGAGGACGACAACGACGATGATAATAACAACGAGGCGGATGAACAAGGCGTCTTAACAATAATAATATCCGAGTTCATAGGATCTTTCTCTTCACTGACAATATCAAAACATTGAAAAATAAAAAGTGATTTCTTAAAAAAACGTTAAAATACAAAAATTAAAGGATAAAAGAGTAAATGTGATATTGGTTATGATTCCCTGACCCCATGCACACTGAATTTCTCTAGAGTAAGTCTTCATAACATTAATTAAGCCTTTCATCTGCCGCTTTTCTCTTGATCTTGTTGACGCCTGTCGGTTAGCATAATTTCAGACAGAAGGAATATACCTTGAGAGTTAAGCTGATTTCATATGTACCCTACGCCGAAGCTACAAGCTACCACGAGTGTTTATCATTCAGCAAAAGCCTAGTCTAGCACGATCGATGATGTCATCTTTACTGGTGTAGCACACTTTCCACCCATCATCGGTATTATTACTATTATTATTATTATCCAACCATCATTTACGGCAAAGAAAGAGAAAACAGATTTACTCAATCAATAAACATTGGTAAACGAAATCGATAACCAAAAAATGTGTCACATTATTACCATCATGAATAGATGTCTGTATTCGTCTCACCGGTAGTAAACAGCAGATTAATATACACTTGTGAAACAAGTCTGATTAGAAATCATAGGCATTTCCTCAAGAAACTGTCTTCTTATAGAATCGGATTAAGCCTGGGATTGAAACGAAAACCTGAGTCATGACAAGATTTCAACCAGTGATTTCCATAGGCGTTAAACCAAGGCAGCGGTCTAACCACTGAGCTAAAACAGACCTGTTTGTTAGTGGCTAGTTCAAATCATACAATGAATCATGGAATTAATTATCACCGCATTACAGGTTAGGATAAGTTTTTCAAAATAAAGGGTTTGAGCAGTCATTGACCTTTACACACAATAGGTGTGGCTACTCATTGTCTACTGTACGAATATGCAAAGGTTGCTGAGTGGGTTTCGGTTTCTCCGTTTAGCCACGTGGATGTGTACAATTAGTGAAAAGGAAACAGGTGTTAACTTTGAAATAATAAGTGCTGCAGTTTCGATGACAACAGAATGATAAACTTTCCACCATTAAGGCATATTTATCTAGTCAGTAATCATCCCGTAAGGTAATCTTACACATGAGTGAACTATGGACTAAGCGTCATCTTTATGAAGTGAATATTCACTAACCTAATGTAGTTGACAATTTAACCCGATTTCACCGATTATATAACTCGACAGAAAATAGACTACTCTGTCTAGTCATCATTATTGACACGGGGAGGTGTTAACGCTAAATGCAACTCAATAGCCATTTAGAGGTTTGAACCACTCCCAGATTATTAATAGGGAGTGCAGTGATGAAATGCCTGGACCGCTTCACTTGTTCGAGAAGTTGCATCAGCCCGAATGGATACAGAAAGCGCGTTTGCTATTTGACGACTCGCATCAACTGTGGTGCCGACTAAAGAGATATCCGATCATCTTATTAAACGAAAGTATACTGCGCTGCATTCCGTTATGTCCTCCTGTACGGGTGTGACATATGGCCGTTCTAAGTAGAGGAAACATGAAGTGATTACAAGGTTTCGATCATTTGTGTCTTCGTAGCATTCCCGCGTTTGATGGAATCACCAAATGAGCAATGTTGAAGTCAGGTGAAGGGTACTTGGCAAGACAGGCAAGTCGATTGATGAGATTGTGAACCAACATCGACTGAGATGGCATGGCATGGACATATGGTGCGCATGACGAAGCACTCCCTGCTTTGACGTGTCATACTGGGGGAAGTTGGATCAGGTTGGAAGACGGTTCAGAACGGCCAGACCAAGACGTGGCACCAGTCGATAAAGTCTGTAACTGTTGGTCTCAGCCGTGTGAGGGAGATGTAGACTCTCATTGGGGTCCCCAAGATGACAGGAATCAGTGACTGAGGAATCTTAGTGGCATGGCTGAAAATCGGTCACAATGGCGCAGATTTATTTACTCCTTGACATCTGAAGATTGAATATTCGCACTAACCTTCATCTTCCAATTTTTCATTCTCTCACATAACTTTATCTTCTCTGATATCACTCTTTCTCTATTCACCAGTTCTTTGTGTGAAGTGTGTGTGTGCGCGCGCGAAGTGTGGCAACTTGGGCCGACGTACTTCTGTCTGAGGTTTGACGTTGATTTTGTCAGTTGTCAGTCAGCATCAGGCAATGAGTCGATATAGTCAAGTTACCCAGACACAAAACAACTTTATATGGGACCCCTAGGGTAAATATATATAAGCGCAGGGTTTTGGATATGATTTAGACTCCGAATCCGATACATAACACTACGACGGATACACAGGAAGGTCATCTTAGGACAGTTTGTTCTGATTCCCAACCTGGCCACTAGCAACCAAGAATAAAACAAAATAGAAGATCTAATCCAAAATCTAATATCACCTTGTTTTTTTGGCAGTAACTGTTACTCAAGCTGAACTGTACATCAAAGATGCGTTAGACAAAAAAAGATTGAAAACATTCTTCGTTATAGCGTATAATTAGGATCTTGTAACCAAAATAGGGGATGTGGAAGATAGGATTGGAGATAAAGGTATTTCTCATTCAGCGGTGAGCTTGTTAGCAAAAATTTAAATTAAACTCACATTACTTCAGGAAATGATTCTTTTGATAACTTGGGAATGGATTCAGCACTTATAGATGATGACTTGTTGGATAACTGGATATCTTCCTCAAGGTATCATTGTTATTCATAGTAATGACAGTAGACAACTGTAAATGAGCACGTGGTACCCCAGAGAACTGTATTGTATATAAAATATAGAATGAAAAAAGACAATATTTTGTTTAACTGGGAGTGACTTTAATGGCCACACCTTAGCAATTGCTGATGCAGCCAACCAGGTTTCGGTATTCCGGTTAGAAAGGAAGTTTTCCATAACATGGAAAGACATCAATTGGTTGTCTCAGCAGTTGCTAGGCTGGTCTTTAAAGTTACTCATGAACTGCAGAAAACATTGAAAAAAGGATATCAGGGTTACTATGCCCCCCCCTCCTGTTTCTACTAATTAACCAAACGAAACCAATATAATCGTACCCATGGAATACTGGTGAAAACGCTTGACTTCCAACAGGTGAGTGAGTGGGCGGGGATGGAGAGTATGGCAGAATACCTCCCCTAACACTACTGGGGTTTGACAAACCAGGTAAAGGTATAGTTCAATTTTGATTCCGTCAAAACTACGATATGTCGAAGCATTTTTTGAAGGATAATAATCAAAACTGTTATTCGTATAATCACCCATATTTCAATTATAATCTCAGGTCACTGTACGGAACATCTTGGTCGATAGACTTCATTCAGTATTCATGAATACAAAGGATCAACTTGCTTTAAAAACCCTCCTAAACACTCAACAGAGCGATACAAACCAGTAATCACTGATGTTTCCGAATGGAAATGCAGCAACGCAGTTTGGCTATTACCAAGTTGTATCCCAATACAACGCATCTTTGATGGCAGTGGTTGTTAACGAATGCGAGTAAAAATTTCATCATGCTTCGAGTAAGCAATGTTTCCTGACTAATACATTCTAGCCACAGTCCAATAGACCATACTATAATTAGCTTACTTTTATGGAAAACTGAACACTTGAAACATGACAGCTTAAGATATAACTACATAGCAACATTAAAATTCATTCTAATGTGTGGGGTGACATGAATGCCAAACTGGGAGCTGACAACACAGGAACAGAACTCATCGTGGGTCGAGAGGCACTCGGTGAAATGAATGAGAATGGAGCACTCTTTGCAGACTTCTGCGCATTCAACGATTTGGTGATTGGAGTCAGGCAGTGTGTACAAACACAAGCATATTCACAGGGCAGTGACATGGATTTCACCAGATGGACACACTACACTAAAAATCAGATCGACTTTATCTCAATGTGAAGAAAGTGGAAACACAGACTACTGGACACAAGATCAGATCAAGAAGGGGAACAGATGTAGGTTCATACCACTCACTATCTAGTGCAAGGAACCTTGAAAATCAAGATGAAAACCTTCAAAGAAGTTGGTGATAGGCCACAGTTCAAGTTGAACACCCAGAACAGAAACTGAAGGACGAAACCACAAAGGACATCTTCACATCAGTCAGCCATCAGAACAAAACGGAAGACATTGAGCAACATTCCTGAAGGATCGGGCGTGGAAGAACACTGAAACTCTTTGAAAGCTATGTGGAAAGAAACCTGCATAACCGCATTAGGAAGGAAGAGGGAACAAGACAAGGAATACGTCTCCACGGACACATGGGAGCTGGTAGAGCAGGGAGAGAAAGAGGGTGAAGCAGAAGATGAACAAGTGCAGTGCAGTGCAGTGCAGTGCAGTGCGGGGATGAACAACAAAAAGAGGAACTAAACACAACCTATAAAACACTACACTGGACAAAGAAGTCAAGAAGAGTGCGCGCAAAGACAAAAGACACTTCTACGACACACTGGCAGGTGAAGCACAACACGCTGCAGGTAGGAGAGACAGACACCTGACAACACTATATCAAATAACCAGGTTACTATCTGGGAGGGAAGAGATCAACGCAGACGAAACCAATGAAAGATAGTGAAGGAAACCTAGTTATTATCACCAAAGAGGAGAAACAAAGGAAATGATGGGCTGATCACTTCAAAAAGCTCTTGAATCGACCACCAACACCACCTGCAACTCGTCCAGAAATACCATCAGCATCCCAACCACAGAACTACCAGTGAACACAAGCCCTCCGACCAAAGCAGAAGTCCTGAATACCACGAAGGAGCTGAAATCTGGGAGAGCAGCAGGACCAGATGGAATTCCGCCAGAAGCACTGAGAGCAGACACAGAGACAACAACGGACACGCGCACACCACTATTGCTGAAGGTCTTCAAGGAAGGAAGGAAGGAAGGAAGGAAAGGTACCTGCCAACTGATTGGAAGAAGGGCAACCTACCTGGCACGGAATCATGCTCCATCCTTGTCCACTTAATGCAAAATATTAAGCTGCATCAACCTGGAGAGACTAGAAGATGCTCTCAATCAAAAATTACGACCGGAACAGGCTGGATTCAGGAAGTACAAATCATGTGCGGATCAAATTGCAACGATTCGTTATGCACCATCATAGAACAGAGTATAGAATGGCAGTCAACTCTCTACCTCAACTTCATCGACTTTGAGAAGGCCTTCGACAGCGTCGACCAAGAGGTAATTCGCCAGGTAGCTGCTTCAACACTACGGAGTGCCACAAACCTGTATCAACCTCATTCAACATGCCAAGTAATTCACAATGGAAAGCTCAGTGATGCCTTTGAAGTATACGCAGGAGTAGGACAAGGCTGCCGCCTACTATCACCCATCATCTTCCTGATTGTGGTCGACTGGACCATGCAACAAACTGTGAGGAGCGAGAAGATGGACATACGCAGTCTGGACCGAGGAAAATACTCTAGGAGATCTGGATTTCGCCCATGTGGAACTAAACCAAAGATCCACAGGCGAAAACCAACAAGTTGACAGAAGAGGCAGGGCAGCGAAAGAAGACGGGACTTCAGGTGAACGTGGAGAAGACAGGGGTGATGAAGATATCCAACCAACAACAGCATCAACAACAAGTACTAACCACCATCAACGGGAAAAACCGAAAGGAAGTTGTCGCTTTCACCTACCTACTTACCTACCTACCTACCTACCTACCTAGGCAGCATCTTCTCAACTACAGGCGGCCACAGCACAGATGAGGGTGTCAAAGCCAGGATCAGGAAGACAGCAAGATAGGCCTTCACTAACCTGAAACCAGTATGGAGATCTACTGCACTCCGCATAAAGCGTGAACAACACCCGGATTTTCAACACTAATGTCAAGTAAGTCAGTGCTTCTATATATGGTTCAGAAACTTGGCACATCACGAGAAGCATTTCCAACAAACTATAGACACACGTCACGTCAACAGCTGCCTACGCTCACCCGATACTGAAGATCAGATGGTCAAAATAATGAGAATAAGCAACTCTGGCAGGCATGCAGACAGGCTGGCTGGCAACCAACCAACTAACCGAGAACCCATCGCTCGACAAATATGCAGAAGAAAGTGAAGATGGATTGGGCATTCATTGAGGAAACTATTCGGAGACATCATGCGCTAGGCCTTCGTGTGGAATTTAAAGGGGAAACGACGAGTTGGGCGTCCGAGGGTGACATGGAGGAGATCGTGTGAGGGAGAAATGAAAGCGTATGGGCAGTGGTGGAGCCAGGTTGAAAAAACTGTAGAGAACAGAATGCAATCGAGGCGTGCTGCTGAAGCCCTATATTCTGTTAGAAACTCAACGGAAATGAAATAATAAAGGGAACATCAAAAAGGAGTTAATCTTAACCTATTCAATGTCGTCACTGGTTAACTGTCCTCATGTTCGACCCCATCCGTTACGACTTGTCGGAACTTTGGGAACCACCTTTCGAAGCTATTCACGAATGAGGACTTGATTATTTCAATTTCACACACACACACACACACATATATATATATATATATATATATATATATATATATATATATATATATATATATATATACAAAATTTACTCACATACCTATAAAGATTGACTACTGAGAATATATAAACTTATCGAGAGTTTGTTTTTGTTATTATATCCGAATTGGTTTAACTATGTTGGTATTAAATGACTACGCTATATAATTTGTGAGTGTAAAAGCTGAAAAGCTGAAAATACGTAATCGCTTCCAACTGTTCTCTAATTATCACAATGGGGATATTTAAATTGACAGGGAATACGCTTGGTCCATGGTCAATAATTTTTTGTAAGGGTCATTTTCTATCCCTCCCTCCATTAACTATGCAGTGACTTTAAAGGCCACCCTGGCAACAAGCGAAATAACCAACCAGACTTCTCGAGCTTATGAAAATCCGCCTCTCTAGATGAAATGAAGAAAACCAATTGGTCATTTCAATCGTTGTTAGGGTGGCCATCAAAGTCACCTCAACCTGTGTCACTAATCATCGAATCAAAATCGACGACGAATCAGCTCAAGTGATTAATTGCACAAAATCGGAAAGTACTATAAAACAGAGTAAACTAGGGAAGGCCTAACGATGAACAATGAAGAACGACGATAACGACCGAAATGTTGTAACCGGAAAACAGGACAGATGGTAAAAAAATATAGTCGCTCTATGATGAACGTTAAACCAGTGAAAGATGGATAACGAACAAATAGCAGTCTTTCTTTCCAATATCAAATGATGTTATACAACTAACAAATACTTTTTAATTATCTTTAAGGTAGCATTCATCACGGACTGACGTCAGTTGAAGAACCACTGAAAACCAGAGAGCACTAGACACCAGCTGTTTTGTCCCACTAGTATAGGACTTCTAGGCAGTACGTACCCACGGTCCGGCTAGGGATGGAACTCAACACCTTCAGGTTTCACGGCGAACGCGTTAACCCAAGGTCTTCAGCTGACATTTGCTCCACTTTTCATGAGAACTATACAATAGTGTATTTAGAGGTGAGCCTCAGTTTCGAATTTACAGGTTATCACTACACTGAAAAGGTTCTTACCTGTGATGGATTTGATTGCTCCAATTCGTTTTTCTCATTCTTCCTATGAATATTACCAGCATCATTGTTACTAGTATTTACATTATCGGTATGATGGTAGTGCTTACTAATACTAGTAGTAGTGGTAGCAGTAATATCGACAGCATTTATAGAAATATCCACTTCTGTATTCACACTGGTGTTGATCATCAACCCGGTAGAACTGTCATCATTTACAAAAGTATCATTGGTTATCATAGGACTTTGAATAATATTTGTAATTGGTTTAATTCCATTGTGTACAAATAAACGACGTCGGCGACGAATAACTGGTAGGATAACTGTTGTTGTAGTCGGCGGTGGTAAACAACTACTAGCATTACTGCTACTTTTATCGTTGACAATATCATCATGATTTGTAGTGTTAGCGGCGGTATTATTCGCTGTTGTTGGCAAAGAGGAGAAAGTATCCTTCAGTGGCGAATTAATAGGTCTCTAAGGCAAATAAATCAACGGTAGAGATTTGTAAAAATAGAAAATGACAATCAGAAAACATAACATGGCGACAATGTGTGGATACATACAACTACGACGACACTGTGATCAGTTCTCAGCCTCTTCACATCTTAAGTCACTTTCAATAATCGAAATACCCCCGGTACTACTGCATCTAGCCCTGCTGCCCTTCCTCGTCTCGGGTTGCCTACAACCTTCTCAAATTTTGCAACCATGGAAAGGCCTGTCCCATTCTGGACTCGACTGAATGGCGGGACACCGGAGGCTCGTCAAACAGTTTCTCCAAGTTTTCTGTCCATCCTTCCAGTCGTTTGCCAGTGAATCGCAGACCCATTCTTCCTCCCTGTTGTCCATCTAGCCATTCACCTGTCTGCACCAATTTCCTTGCTCAGTTTAAATAACTGTCCGCTAGTACCTATCTCCAAGGCCCACTCCATCTCCATCTCTAATATTCGCCACCCAGCAATGCTTGCGTTCATTGTGTAGAATTCTTGCCAGTCTACATTGGAGTGGCTTACACTCCTCCTCCTTGTTCTCGGAGCCTGTAGGAATGCGTCGCCGTGCATGCAGTAATCCTTGAGATGCTGGTGAGTTCCACTGAAACTTTCTCACCTCTCTTTGATAGATAGACGTGGTCTTCAACACTGTCCTTACAATATATTGAAGACAGCGGTAGGCCTCTTCCAGATGATTGGTATTGTCGTGTTCATATAGTCTTCACATCAGTTCCTCAATGAGATCAGTCATAGTGGTCACATCGTTGATCTGCACTTGGAATGTGTTCCTGTTGCTGTTAGTCGTGCCACAACCATTTACGTGCAGATATCTACTTGATCACTGCGCTGCAGAATGGTTATCGACAACTCTATAGCTGGAAAAAACTTAAGACGATATGCGAAGAATATATTGGCCGAGAGACATAAAGAGAGAGATTAGAGAAGGCGAAGATGTGGAAGGTTGACAGTGATATGAAGGGAGTTGAGTTCTGAAAGAGTTGTGAGTGCGGTTGACACTTCCCAGTTGGCCACATAGAGAGAAGTCACTTCTTCAGTTACCTGGAAGGGAAGTTGGGTTAGTCACAGTGCTGTGTGAACACAAAGTGACTGCATGATTCTTAATCAGTGAGTTTATTTTTCCGTGAAGTGACCACCAAAAGAGACTACCTGAATAGAAAACCACAAGACAGAAAAAACTTCCCTCCGGCAGAAGAAAACTTCACTAAAATTGCTATACATATTCTCAAGAGGATAAAATATGCATGCTTGAATGATGCACCTAAACTTCGTACGCGAGATGGACCGATTCCAACTTGCCGGGATGAAATCGATCAGAAAACTGAACTGGATTTGTTCCTCCGAGAAGAATAGTTAATTAAACTAAAAACATATATATATATATCTGACCCCGCCCAGAATTTGAAACATTAACATAGTATAGTAAAAGTAAGCAGTAACCAATCAACGAATTGCCTAAAAAATGGAGGCAAAACCGAACCACTGGCCGTGCATCGTAAAAGAAAAACAGTGCAAAAACGGAAATTTAAAAACGTTTAGGTTAATAAACAATGTTTTGTGCACATCTGGCGCCTCCCAATAAAAATATTAGTTTAGGAAAAAGCGAATTAAATGAGTTACCATAACATTTGCGGCTGAAGTTTCATTCAATGATGCACACGAATAATTCAACCGATTACTAGATGATGATGTAATATGATCTATATGTGAATCTGCTACTTTGTTCTTCATGCCAGATTCCACATTCCAGTCTGATGTTTGGCTGCTAGTTAAGGAACTGGACATTTGAACCACCATTGATGTTGGCGTTGTTGTTGTTGTTGTCGTCATCATCATATCTTCCGAACTAATCATCAATGGCCAGTAAGTGGATACACAACAAGTCCCATCATTACTCACAGGTGGTTTTGAATCACACGTAACCGTACTTGGTACACCAGAAGAGATCAAATCATTGGTTTGAAATAAATTGTGGAATGTAGGATACTGAAAGAGAAACAAAATGGATACGGGGGAGTTGAAAAGAAACAAAGCTTAAAACTGCCACCTTGATCTAGTGAATGCGGCCACATATCACACTGTCACAAGGAGTTACACTGGCTAGATCGGCTACTTCCTGCAGTTCATAATGCAACAGAGACGTCTGGTACACAGAAGATAGTCACAGGATAAAAGTGGTTACCATCAGACCATGAAATGCTACGCCATGATTGGGTTTGAGAAAGAAATCGTACAGCTGGCTATATAGGGTATGATTATAGTAAGATATTCCTCACATGACTACCAGCAGTACGTGTCAAGGTTAAAAAAGGTAACACGGCAACTACTTAGGCTTATTATGGAAACAGTGAAGAAGATGATGGTTAGTGAAACTATCCACGAAAAGGATGGGACAGTGATAACCTCTCATGACAGGTGGCTACAAGGTTAGCCAAACCACTATGAAGCACAGTTCAACTGGCCGATAGCAACGCGTCAGTTGTCCAGCATCCAACCTGGGCCTGATTGGGATGTGGATATTGGTCTTCCAACTCTCTTTGAAGTTGAGATGGATGTATCGAACCTGAAACGGTAGAAAGCGCCAGGACCTGATAGTTTGTCGCCTGAAGTTTTCAAGAATGGAGGTTGGAAATTGCTAATTAAAGTGACAAGAGTGCTAGGTAGCGTATGGGAATCAGAGGTAGTGCCGTCAGATTGGTCGAGCTCACTGATCATCCCAGTCTGGAAGAAGGGGGAGAAATCTTGTGACAACTATAGGGGAATTAGTTTGACTGATATTCTGTCCAAGATCCTAGAATCCATGGTTATCCGATGCCTAACCGGAGCTCGAAAACAGCGAACTCAAGAGAACCAAGCAAATCTCTGACCTGGATGAGAGTGCACCAATCACATTTTCATCCTACAATAGGTTCTGAAACAGGTATACCTAACGGCGGTCGACACTTGCCATATTTCTTGACCTGAAGGCAACATTTGACTCTGTCGACCCGCGAGGTGTTGTGACAGTGTCTGACTGGGTAGGGAGTACCGAATAAGTAATTAACACTAATCAAAGCTCTCTACTCGGACTCACATAGCCATGTAAAGGCTGGTTTATCGGTGTTGTTATGTGATTTGACGACAACTAATAGTGTTCACCAGGGATGCCCGCACTCACCCTTTCTGTTCAGCTTCGTAACAGACGTGCTAATGGACATAACCTTAGATGTGTCTGACTTTACATGGATTAATCTACTCCTTGTAGGTGGTTTGATCCGTTTAGTCAGACACTGTCACAACACCATACGGTCGAAAGAGTCAAATGCCGCCTTCAGGTCTAGAAATGTGGCAAGTGCTAACTCCTCTCTCAATGCGTACTTGGCATCCTCATCTACCAATCAGACATAGAGAGGCTACAGCCTCTGTGATCAATAAGGCGCAGACATGCACGAGCCCGTAATGACGCGTGATCGGAGTGCCAGCTGGTATTCCAGAAAGAGCAGTAATCCCCCACCGATGCTTTCGAACGATGGCTGACGGCAATATGACCTATCTATGTGCATCGTTGGTTTGTAGTTGGCGAACGCCACGAGAGACAGTGTCTCTCCTTATGCCTGAATTTAGTGCTGGCCAGAAACAAGTGATTGTCGAGACAGAATTGCAACAGACGATCACCGTTGTCACTTTGTTGGTATAGGATTCTGTAGGTGTCTCCCAGATGCATGTCCGATTGCTTCAACTTCCCTAATTTAGAGTTAATGTCACCTGCCGTTATGACATCTTAACGTTTTGCTTCTGCAGCAAGTTTGACAGCTTCTCATAGAATTCATCCTTTTCATCACTTGAATTGCATTCGATGGGCGCATGGGCGGAAATTACAAATAGACATCGCCTAGTCGTCTTCTGATCTTTCCTAGTTCTAATAGACACATTCGATCGAACAGTATATAGACGACTGTTTATTGGTATGCAGCCAAGAAGTGCACTTTGTACCCTGCAGATCAATGCTATGCTAATACCAGCGAGTTCACGAGAGCGTCCAGATACTCTTAAGTTGAATTTTAATGACTCACTACTATGGTCAGGTGAGGTCAATTTAACAACCACACTCGGACGAATCTTACATACGCTTATCTCAGAGACACAGCATACATCCATGGCTAGAGATTGCAGATTTGGAAAGCGATGCCGAGGGCTTGTCTCATTCGTATTCAACACAAATAACATGAAATGGCTGGACAAAATACATACAATTTCAACTTACTTGGCAGGACTGATACAAATGTCCTGGTGTGTTCTGAGTGAAATTTGTCGACAGAAATGAAGTACCGCCACCAGCAGATGGTGGTGGTGCTGGTGGTACCGACTGAAGCATGAAGTTTGTTGTTTCATTTGAATTATGCAAAAAGTGTGGTAAATTTGAAACAGAGGCAGCCATTTGTGGTGTAGTTGTATTCACTAGATTTGTACCACCAAGCAGACCAGTTGAATATGGATAACATCCTGGAGGACTGGAATGTGTACATGAAGTTGAGAAAAAATTTTGATTAACCGGATGAAAGATGGTTGGGTAGAGTGATGTAAGCGGCGACGATGTTGATGATGAAGTCGGATTGTTGATAGCACCACCAATGACAGCGATTGATGCGGAAGGAGGCGGTGCCGCCAAAACAGAATGTCCTAAACTTAAAGGATTTTGTGTATCAATGAGTAGATCACCAGAGAGATTATTGTTCAGATTTTGTGAAAACATTGTTCCAGCATAATTTTGTGATGGTTGTAGAAAGTTGAATGCTGTACCACCGAGTCCACCACCCCAGCAGGCAGTAGATGTGCTGAAGCTTGAGGGAATTGGAAACTATTTGGACATGGAATAGGACCAGTTGGATGAAGTACGAAACTAGGTGGACCTGATTATTAGAAGAAATAAAAAAAAAGTAAGGTACAGTGTTCATACCTCACATTGTTCGGGAGCAAAGAAACCAAAGGAATAACCGGGAAACACAAAGAATCCCAGAGAATTTTTAGAAGCCTGGCATTCGTTCGGGTCAGTCAGCGATCAACAGACATACTGACATTGGCCCAGTCTATTAATTAATAAAGCACAACAAGAGTGTCAAAGTTTGTGTCAACAAATATGGAAAAAATGACAAGAGTTTGTTAGAAACAGCCAATCACGTTAAAGACGCCATAGCCCACTTCTTTTTGAAGTTTGTACTGATGATGGTGCTGCCTAGAATGACAATAAAAGCTTCACGATTAAACCATGCAGTTCAGAGAACATAACACCATCAAAATCATCCTCTTGAGATACAAATATTCTCCATTATAGTATAAAGATACCCAACCAACAACAGCATCAATAACAAGCACTAATCACCATCAACGGGAGAAACTGAAAGGAAGTTGTCTCTTTCACCTACCTACTTACCTACCTACCTGCCTGCTTGCCTACCTACCTACCTACCTACCTACCTACCTACCTACCTACCTACCTACCTACCTACCTAGGCAGCATCTTCTCAACTACAGGCGGCCACAGCACAGATGAGGGTGTCAAAGCCAGGATCAGGAAGACAGCAAGATAGGCCTTCACTAACCTGAAACCAGTATGGAGATCTACTGCACTCCGCATAAAGCGTGAACAACACCCGGATTTTCAACACTAATGTCAAGTAAGTCAGTGCTTCTATATATGGTTCAGAAACTTGGCACATCACGAGAAGCATTTCCAACAAACTATAGACACACGTCACGTCAACAGCTGCCTACGCTCACCCGATACTGAAGATCAGATGGTCAAAATAATGAGAATAAGCAACTCTGGCAGGCATGCAGACAGGCTGGCTGGCAACCAACCAACTAACCGAGAACCCATCGCTCGACAAATATGCAGAAGAAAGTGGAGATGGATTTGGTGTACATTGAGAAGACCATTAGGGGACAACCATGCAACAGACCAGACCCTCGAGTGGAATCCAAAGGGGGAAACGACGAGTTGGGCGTCCGAGGGTGACATGGAGGAGATCGTGTGAGGGAGAAATGAAAGCGTATGGGCAGTCGTGGAACCAGATTCAAAAGACTGGAGACAACAGAGTGCAACTGAGGTGTGCTACTGAAGCCCTATGTTCTACTAAGAACTAAAGAGACAAATAATAATGATAATAATCGTAATAAGTGTAGACTTTCAGTTTGGGATCCATGTGACAACCGAAGTCAATGGTTGGAGTTTTTATGCAATATAGCTCGAAACTGGCTGACAATTAGAACCTGTGTCATTCGTCACCGAAATGAGAGGCTTTACCAATAAGCTGTTCAGGCAAAAATCAGCTGACTATTTTTACATCTTAGAAGAAAAAAAGGAAGAATGAGGAAAATATAATCAAACTAAACTCGAGGCTTGTCACATGAAAACTCTTGAAGATATCTGCAGGTATTTATTGGAGGATCTAATGGTGTGCTTCACCTGAAGTCTGTAGAAAGAAAGCTCCAACCTCAGTTAATGTGAATAAGCTTCGTACTTTGTGTCACACTAGGAAGCAACTGAAAGTCTGTTGACGCTACTCCTGCATTGTGTACTGCTGAACAGAGAGAATATTAAGACCGGTTATGTCAACGAAGATATTTCACTAAGTAGATGGTGGGAGACTGTGGTTAACCGGTTGAGAAAGTTGACTTTCAACCAATGGCGGGTCACGATTCAAGTACCGCTTCACCTACCGGGTATGGGCAGCCAGAAAGTATTTTTATTAGTCTTCATACACAAGTGTGGCTCATTGCCGTCTAATGCAAAAATATGTGCATAAAGTTCCTTGAGTGGATTTCAGTTTTTTTGCGGTTTTGAAGCCCACTTAATATTAAACAACTTGCGGTATCTCTGGTGCCGACTGGAGAGATATTTGACTAACGGTTAAAAGATAAGTATATTGCGTTGAAGTCTGCTATATCAGTATATATAGTAGTGAGACATGGCGGTTGAAAGATGTGAAGAGATTTAAGGTTTTTGAGACAGACCTATCTCAGTGGCCCAACTCACATATGGTAGAATCGCCATGTGAACAGTACTGAGATTCGGTGAATGCTAGGCGAGCTCAACAAGTCAATGGATGAGGTCATGAATCCCTAAACATGCTTTACGCATGCTGATTTACTGCCCACATCAACATGTAATGCTCATCGATGTAGGATTGATTAGGAAGGCTGAGGATATTCAAACGCAGACCTGCTACCACTCCAAGAAGTCTTTGGCTGTTCTTCTGGGCTGTATAGCGAGGTATATGTTGTCTGGCTGGTATCGTCGAGATAAAAAAAGCAGTGAACGCTACTTACAAGAATGTATACAAGCAGTATATAGTGAACGAGCAAACGCACTCAGCCGCCTTGTGTACATTCAGGGAGTAGGCGGCAATGGGCTACACCTATTTTGTGAGGGCTGCTAGTGATACTTAGTACGTGGATGCCCAAACCTCGGTAGGTGGGGCAGGGCTCGAAACAGTGGCCCATCGGTTGAATGTCATCTCCCTAAGCCAAACTCAAAACCAGTGGTGTGAACTTTTCGATTTCAGTCAGTTCGATATATAGCACAACAATAATCTTATGTTCTCAGATTAACATCCATCATTTATCACTTTCATTTAAATCATTTAAATACTCGAATTGCAATTGGGGAGATGTTGGTTCGAACCCGACTGTCTAATGAGGTTGGGTAAGCGAACAAACGAATAAATGGAAAATCAAGCAAAACCACCATGTACTTACCTACAAATTGTGGCACAGGTGTCATATTGAAGATTTGAAGTGGAGGACATGGTACAGCTGGTGTACCTGCTGGTATCGGTATTCCAGAACTAGGATTGATAATATTTTTCAAGCTTGTATTTCCTACTGAAACTGGTAGTGTCGCAGACATGCTGCCGATAAAAGGCATAAAATGTACACCAGACTGAGATGGTAACGATGGAAGCGAAGTCTGTGAAGTGAACGATGGAGTTGGTTGTGGGCCAACAGATAATAATGGTAGGACTGATTGGCCAACTGCTGGACGACCTCTTACACTAAATATGCTTGACATATTCATTGTATTCATTGCGCATGTACCAATTATAGGGGTGATGGAAATCGGAATAGAAGTTGTACCAGTAGAAATAGAATTGGTCATGCTAGGAGACGAAAAACTGGATACTTCAACTGTATTAGGCTGATTAGAAGATTTTGAACTGTAGGATACAGATGATGATGATGACACAGTACCAACTTCATGTTTGGTAACAGAAGATGGAATGGAACTATGTACACACATAGTTGGGCTTGTCACAACATCCTGAGGAGTAGGTTTGATTGATCTCAATGATTCATTTCTTTAAATTAGTTAAAAGAAAATTTCGGTAAAAAATAAATCATCAACTGATACCCGTTGAACAAGATGTGTCTATCTCAACTCAGTAGTCCCGTGGATAACACTAGTATTCAAAGTAGCTTGCTGGGGGGTTCGAGTCTAACCTAGAACACCGACGCTGGAATTCCAGTGTACTCAAACGATGAGTTCTCAGTAGCAAGAAACGTTTATTGTTAAATTCATCCTACTAACAAAAGCTTAAAGTAAAAACAGTTTGTCGACCTAAATGACTGACTATATTCGTCTACCTGAGAAAGCTTTGATAGATTGATCATTTTATACTGACATTTCGATTGAAAACAGACTCAGTTAAAGATTTTTTTATCAGATATTATCCTTCTATACCCACAAACTTGACAAATTAAGAACTTACGAAATGGTATAATCAGGTCCAACAGATGACATTCTTATAGGAGCCACAGTTGCTAGAGCAACTGGAGTACTTGTATGATGTCTGTCTGAAGAATAGCTTTTGTTGGAAGCACTCATCGGATGGAGGTTCGGATGTGTAGGTAAACTTGAAGAGAATGATGAAGATGATGATGCTAGATCAGGTAACGACATGGTACTGATTACACTAACTGAAGCTTCACTAACTTCCGGAACAGTGGTGATGGAAGCTTGGGTATTTTCGGTTATTGTACCTAAAAGATTTATAAAAAACAAACACGTCGATCACAACTGGATTAAAATGAGTATATATTTACAGTGATTTCAGAAAAATCCCTTGAAAACCAGAATTTACGCCTTCACACAACAGGTGTGAGACTCATTGCCTGATGCTGACTGACAACTGACAAAATCAACGTCAAACCTCACACACAGAAGTGTATCGGTTCAGGTTGCCACACTTCACAGTAGTACACAAAGAACAGGTGGATAGAAAAGGAATGATACCAAAGGAGACAAAGTTGTGTGAGAGAAGAAACAATTAGTGCAAATATTCAATCTTCAGATGTCAAGGAGTAAATAAATCTGCGCCATTGTGACCGATTTTCAGCCATGCCACTAAGATTCCTCAGTCACTGATTCCTGTCATCTTGGGGACCCCAATGAGAGTCTACATCTCCCTCACACGGCTGAGACCAACAGTTACAGACTTTATCGACTGGTGCCACGTCTTGGTCTGGCCGTTCTGAACCGTCTTCCAACCTGATCCAACTTCCCCCAGTATGACACGTCAAAGCAGGGAGTGCTTCGTCATGCGCACCATATGTCCATGCCATGCCATCTCAGTCGATGTTGGTTCACAATCTCATCAATCGACTTGCCTGTCTTGCCAAGTACCCTTCACCTGACTTCAACATTGCTCATTTGGTGATTCCATCAAACGTGAGCAATGCTATGAAAACACCTGTGATCAAGACCCTATGACTGCTAAGTATCTACTGTTTTTAACGGTCATGTCTCACAGCCGTATAGCAGGACAAAAAGGAATGCAGAGCAGCGTCATATTTGTAGAATCTGACAAAATACATCAGTGAATCTACTCAACTGAATACTGGGTACAGATATGCGAATTTTCCCCGTGTTATAATTCTTATCAACAGGAGACCGTTCAGACAAGTGTATATGCTGAAGTAGGGAAATAAACACTGTATTCAACCAACTTACTTTCTGTGAATATGGAGCATATACATTGGTAATCATAGTAAGACAAAAAACCTTACAGGAAAGGGATTCTTCTTACGTAGAGTCAAACTGTGTACTATTTATTTTTTTCCTTTTTATAGGAAATCTGACATTAGCCTGGTCTTATTCAAGCTGCAAAATGGATTTCAAAGCCCCACTCAGGTAAGATGTAGCATAAACTTGAAGATGGAGTTCTAAACAAATCATCTTGTATTCTCGTCAGTTTCACAACATTCTTAATCCTTTACACTCAAATTACAAAACAATTTCTATTTTATCAACGGATATTCTTACTACTGCTTAATCTAAAAGTAGAGTTGTGACTCAGTGGTTTAGGGAAATGACTCAACCATTGGGTCACGGGTTCGAGCCCCGCTCCACCTGCTGAGAGTTGGGCAGCCAATTAGTATCACTAGCCCTCACAAAATAGGTGTGTCTCATTGCCCATAGCACGGATGTGCACAAGGTGGCTGAGAGCCTTTCGTTTGTTCTTCTTGTCGCCCAGTTTAAAAAAGGTTAAAAAACATAAAATTACAAACTGACCACTCACTTGAAATATTGGACAGTAATGAATTGTTTACAACATTGACCACACTGTTTTCAGACTCAATAGGTGAAATATCATCAACCCCTTGTGTATCCACAGTTAACGGTCGATCTTCTAGGTCTAAGTCGTCTTCATCTTCCACATTGAGATCACAAGAAGGTTGTTTTGAATCGGAGAGTGAATGTCTCCCGCTTATGGGCATTTCATTAACACCCTTCGTAGTATTATCGTTAGGTTTAGGTGAATTCGGTTCTTTTACTGTTGAAGAGTAAGCATTGTCAAGATCAATCGGTCCAGTTGAAACGGCGACTTGAATACCATTATTCGCATTATCTTCCAATTTCAGAATCTAGAAAATTAGATGTGGATTTTTTAGTACTATCGGTAAAAACAAAAAGACAATTGAATTGTATGATCTAGTAAAAATGTGCATTAAAATGGAACCAGTTAAATATAAGTATCACAATATTTAGTATAGACTGGGTAGATTACAATGAGGTTAAAAACAACAACATGAAAGTCTCTCTGTGAACTTAACAGCCAGCACTCTAGAAAATTACATGATGGTTAGCAAATAAATGTTGCAACACTAACTTATTCAACATGAGGTTGTGAACCCTAAGTCGACTGAGACGGTTTGGACATGAACTGCACATGACGAGTCACCGCCACCTACCTCGCTCTGCAATGCTAAGGGGAGTTACATCAGGTTGGAAGACGGTTCAGGATGGCCAGACCAAGACGTGACACCAATCGAACACGTCTGTGACTGCTGGTCGAGCCATGATGGGAGATGCAGACTAGCTGGTTGGAGTCCCTGACACGACAGGAACCACTGGTTGAGGACTCTTAGTGATATAGCTGGAAACCGGTCACAATGGCAGAGACGAAACCACTCCTCGACATTAAGGGCTTGAGTATACGCACTATCTTTTATCTTCAGATTATTTATTCCGAAGCAATACCTTGTCTCCTTTGATACCACTCCTTTTCAATCCACTTGTTTATTGTGTCCTCCTGGGAAAACATGGCAACTTGAGCATACTGAGTTTTCGAGTGGCTATCATGATGTCTCCAAGAACATCGAGGGCTCTCTTTCATGCAGTGGGAACCAATCTCCTTCTGCAGGATCAGGATCATGACAACAAGATTCAAGTGAAAAGGAAGGAAAGTCACAATCATACAATGCTACGCTACACACCTACAAATAATGCAGATCAAGAGAGGAGGGAGGAATTCTACAGACAACTACAATCAGTAATGGACAAGACCACACCCCAGTTGGCGATGGCGACATCAAAATTCATTCTAATGTGTGGGGTGACATGAATGCCAAACTGGGAGCTGACAACACAGGAACAGAACTCATCGTGGGTCGAGAGGCACTCGGTGAAATGAATGAGAATGGAGCACTCTTTGCAGACTTCTGCGCATTCAACGATTTGGTGATTGGAGTCAGGCAGTGTGTACAAACACAAGCATATTCACAGGGCAGTGACATGGATTTCACCAGATGGACACACTACACTAAAAATCAGATCGACTTTATCTCAATGTGAAGAAAGTGGAAACACAGACTACTGGACACAAGATCAGATCAAGAAGGGGAACAGATGTAGGTTCATACCACTCACTATCTAGTGCAAGGAACCTTGAAAATCAAGATGAAAACCTTCAAAGAAGTTGGTGATAGGCCACAGTTCAAGTTGAACACCCAGAACAGAAACTGAAGGACGAAACCACAAAGGACATCTTCACATCAGTCAGCCATCAGAACAAAACGGAAGACATTGAGCAACATTCCTGAAGGATCGGGCGTGGAAGAACACTGAAACTCTTTGAAAGCTATGTGGAAAGAAACCTGCATAACCGCATTAGGAAGGAAGAGGGAACAAGACAAGGAATACGTCTCCACGGACACATGGGAGCTGGTAGAGCAGGGAGAGAAAGAGGGTGAAGCAGAAGATGAACAAGTGCAGTGCAGTGCAGTGCAGTGCGGGGATGAACAACAAAAAGAGGAACTAAACACAACCTATAAAACACTACACTGGACAAAGAAGTGAAGAAGAGTGCGCGCAAAGACAAAAGACACTTCTACGACACACTGGCAGGTGAAGCACAACACGCTGCAGGTAGGAGAGACAGACACCTGACAACACTATATCAAATAACCAGGTTACTATCTGGGAGGGAAGAGATCAACGCAGACGAAACCAATGAAAGATAGTGAAGGAAACCTAGTTATTATCACCAAAGAGGAGAAACAAAGGAAATGATGGGCTGATCACTTCAAAAAGCTCTTGAATCGACCACCAACACCACCTGCAACTCGTCCAGAAATACCATCAGCATCCCAACCACAGAACTACCAGTGAACACAAGCAGCAGGACCAGATGGAATTCCGCCAGAAGCACTGAGAGCAGACACAGAGACAACAACGGACACGCGCACACCACTATTGCTGAAGGTCTTCAAGGAAGGAAGGAAGGAAGGAAGGAAAGGTACCTGCCAACTGATTGGAAGAAGGGCTACCTTATCAGTGGACTCCTGAAGAAGGGAGACCTCAGTCTTAGCAACAACTGGCACGGAATCATGCTCCATCCTTGTCCACTTAATGCAGAATATTAAGCCGCATCAACCTGGAGAGACTAGAAGATGCTCTCAATCAAAAATTACGACCGGAACAGGCTGGATTCAGGAAGTACAAATCATGTGCGGATCAAATTGCAACGATTCGTTATGCACCATCATAGAACAGAGTATAGAATGGCAGTCAACTCTCTACCTCAACTTCATCGACTTTGAGAAGGCCTTCGACAGCGTCGACCAAGAGGTAATTCGCCAGGTAGCTGCTTCAACACTACGGAGTGCCACAAACCTGTATCAACCTCATTCAACATGCCAAGTAATTCACAATGGAAAGCTCAGTGATGCCTTTGAAGTATACGCAGGAGTAGGACAAGGCTGCCGCCTACTATCACCCATCATCTTCCTGATTGTGGTCGACTGGACCATGCAACAAACTGTGAGGAGCGAGAAGATGGACATACGCAGTCTGGACCGAGGAAAATACTCTAGGAGATCTGGATTTCGCCCATGTGGAACTAAACCAAAGATCCACAGGCGAAAACCAACAAGTTGACAGAAGAGGCAGGGCAGCGAAAGAAGACGGGACTTCAGGTGAACGTGGAGAAGACAGGGGTGATGAAGATATCCAACCAACAACAGCATCAACAACAAGCACTAACCACCATCAACGGGAAAACCGAAAGGAAGTTGTCGCTTTCATCTACCTACTTACCTACCTACCTACCTAGGCAGCATCTTCTCAACTACAGGCGGCCACAGCACAGATGAGGGTGTCAAAGCCAGGATCAGGAAGACAGCAAGATAGGCCTTCACTAACCTGAAACCAGTATGGAGATCTACTGCACTCCGCATAAAGCGTGAACAACACCCGGATTTTCAACACTAATGTCAAGTAAGTCAGTGCTTCTATATATGGTTCAGAAACTTGGCACATCACGAGAAGCATTTCCAACAAAGTATAGACATACGTCACATTAACAGCTGCCAACCGACCGAGAAACCAACGCTCAGGAAATATGCAGAAGAAAGTGGAGATGGATTTGGTATACATTGAGAAGACCATTAGGGGAAACCATGCAACAGACCAGACCCTAGAGTGGGATCCGAAGGACTGGAGAGAAGAGAGTGAAATGGCGATGTGTTACTGAACCAGAGGGATAAATAGTAGTAGTTGCGTGATATGGATAGTTATTATACTAACTGTTGCAGTCTTGACGATAATACTATGATGAGCCTCAGGAGTACTCATTTGTTGAGGAGAACTATGCATTTCCTTCCAGGTATTGAAAAAGATGACGCTGAGGCTTAAGTCACTTTTAAGGGTTCACTTTTTATGCAATTTAACAAGGAGCAAGAGATCCAAGCACACTGAGATAATAAAGTTTAGAAACTTGTGATTCGGACAGTGGTTTGGTGGTTTTATGCCCTAAAATATCAAAACTGTGAATCGAAGTCAAATACTCTTTGCAACTGTATGCCATTGATTCTTTCATTTCAGACTAAATATATACAAACCTACTGACTTATGTGGTGTCGGTAAATGAGAAGTACTGCACACTTCGAAATCAGTTTAGAGGTTACTTAAAGCGAATGAGATCGGTTCCCTTAAATGGCCTTTATCGCAACTGGAACATGCATTACTGTAGGCCCCAATAAGCTAGTAAGGTGTAATCAAAAGTGGATGAGAAAAATATCATGGCAACGAGAACACCAGCGAAGACAGTTTTAAAAGCGTCTATGTTGACAGAATAAGGGATAGTGTTAGCAATGCAATCTACCTATTTTGATAATGATGGGTTGGAACACTTATCGGTGAAGCCGACAACTTAACCTCCCTCCACAACTTTCTGTTGGTGATGAAGTTATCTAAACCCACACAAACAAACCAAATTAGAGCCCTACACAGGAAAGCTATCAGCACATGTGGTCATAGTTAGCGACAGCATGTAAAGAAGCGGTGGAAAAAAAGGCTGAAAAGAAAGTGACGGAGCATGAGGTAACAGGAAATAAATGTTAACTATGTAAGGGATGATAAAACAATAAATTATCCTGAAAATGGCATAAAAGTGGATGTATGTAGGGTCCTTCGACACATCACTCACCAAGTCACAGTTTGACAAACTCCAGAAACCAAATGAGCGCCAAAAAAGTAACTACTGATTACGAAAAGTTCAAATCTCTGGAAACAAGGATTCTTTGGTTTTCAAATTGTGGTTAAATACAAAGCTTAGTGACACATTCGCAGGTCTCAGCTTTTTTTATGGTTATACCAAGAACCTAGACAAAACAATGTAGAATGAGTAATTTCAACTAGACTGCTACTGTTCTGGCGTTAAGATGAAGGGCTTATTTTAGACCTGGAGTTAATAAAAGTGAAGGACTTAGAGCTTTATTTTAGCACAGGTTCATTCGGGTCTATACCCTTTGTTATCGGCATTCAAACTTTTACAACTGCAACAATCGGCAGGAAAAAAAACAACAATAAAGGAAACTTACCGCCAAGTGTGTTTCAGATTCGAGGTCATTAATTTCTGGTAACAATGATGCAGTTTTGTCGTCGATGTCTTTGGGTACACAAGCGTTGCTTGTGCTTTCATGAGAGCTCTTCTTCAACTTATCAACGCACAATTCCACAGGACCATGATTTTCAGAGGACTGGACAAATACATGATTCAAATCGGAAACCTACTTTAGCTTTAGAATTCACAAGTTCCACCAAACACACAGGAGGTGAGTCATCCTCGCTACGATCAACTGTATTGGTGAAAATACAACTGTTCATCTCATCCTGCGTCTAAAACTTAAACTTGTATAACGATAAGACTACCATAATCTATGCAAGTAGTTAACGAACATAAGAAGACAAGGTCGCTGTCTTGAACTTAAGGTCAATGAAGTGCGCTTGGTTACGTAAAACAAAATTGCATTTGACTCCTTCCTCGATAAAGTATGGGGCTCTGAGATACTTTTGAAAGACCGATAAGAGTTTTTTCATTCATCTTTACTAAATGTTGAATATGTATTCCAAATGGTTAGTTCGTAAAACCTTTCACTGCCTTGATGAAGATGTTTCGGATATTAGACATTCACACTTCGAGTGTCGCCTTGTGGACGCACAAAGCAGTGTATCTTTGAGTTTCGCTTCTGTACTAGTGGAACACATTCTTTGCTAGGACCAGTGACAGTTCTGAACAGAAAGAAATACTCAATTTATTAGCTCTCCAGTTACGACAGTGCTGCTCAAGGTTCGTAAGACAATGGATAGCTTCTTGATTACATTATTTTTGTGCTTTTGTTCCTCAGCGTGTAAGGCAAAACAAATTTGTTCTAAATGAATCCCCACTGCCTAAGACTGGTGGCTTAACCAAGGGTATGATAAATACAAAAATAACGAGTATCATTCACGTAATGTCCAGATTTTTAGGACCATAAATTCTCAACTTCTTGATCACAGATTATTTGTACCGCAGTGATCTGAGCGGGCTGCTGACCTCCTTTTTAAAGCGTTAGGGGAAGAGGCCATAGCATTCTGTGGGGGTAGTTACATAGTTTACCCACCCCAACTGCAAACAAGTTAGCTTGGATCTTCTTTCGTGCCCTCTTACGCCCCGCTCTGAAGCGATAACCCCTAGGGTGAGGTTTCCGATTAAGCTAAAGAGCAGCTGGATAAAGTGAAGGGGTTTTTGGGCCATAAGGCACACCATTACCGCGTCTCCTTTGATTCTTCCGTGTTGTGCTGGATACGGGTCAAGAGGGACTAAGCGATCCGGATACAGTTTGTACTATAGCCCAATCACCTTCCCAGAAGTGAGTGATTTTCTATTCCATCCCTTCCGATTTTTATTTTGTATTTATGATTTATTTCGTTGTAAAATTTCTTATCACTCCTAGCGTAGTAATCCCCCATCCATTCCAAGCTGACTACATAAACTTGTAGGTGTTTGACTTAAAACACGAAAAGTAATTCTTTTTGTTCCTTTAGGGAGAAGCTTTCTCACTGTTCCCTAAAGGAAACATATTTTTCAGCGGTTCAAGTCTGAGACTGAAATCAGGTGGTCAGTCGACAGTTAGCCACGTGGAACCTTCTTGATCTAATTTGACCCCTTCTCAATCATTCTTCCCACATTTTAGGAGACATTTGAATGAACATATAATGTTCTTTTCCAGACCCCAGAGCTATTTTTTCCTGTTGAGTGACTTCGCTCCAGCAACAGTGAGATTTTCAACAATTCCTGGCTAGCGCTTTACCAGAGGTGAGTGACATACACAAATAAACGTTGAAATAAACAAGCCCATGACTTCTGTGCACTAGGAAGCTTAGATTAGGCCGAATCTACCAGTGATCTGATTGGTAAAAATACAATCCATCCGGAATGCCCTGCAGTCAAACCCCAGGAACTACATTAAGAGGCATTCTCGGTCGGGTAGTTTTCCCGCAGGGGTCACTGAAAATTATCAGCTAGACCAGATGGATTAGTAAGAAAAACTTTAAACCACCAATAACGAGGAGTTGAAAAGAGTTTTAGATCCAGAGTTCCCCCGGTGGGTTGCATCATGTTCTTCCTAAACGTTGCAGGGACTTCTGTAGGCAGGCACAGGGCTTTCCTAATTTTTGATGCAACACGAGGGTTTGACTTCAGCACCGGTTTTGGGGGAGGATTCTGCATGGGACAGGCATAAACGGCAGCACTTCCCCCTAATCCGTATGACATAACCTTTCAGATGAAGTCCAGCCCACCTAAAATTTCACGACATTTTGTCTTCTGTGAACTTCGTTTCAAAGACAGTCGCTTTTCTAGAACTATCCTACTCAGTCCTTCACCTCGTCCTAAATATCTTGGGGCGAATGGAGCCAAAATTCCAGTGGTAAGTTTGGTTAGCAAGGTTGTGCTGGCAGTCTTGAAATAGCCAGTTTTGTCAAGATTTTAAGGAAAGGAGGAAAAAGTAGGAGGGTCCAGATCCTCAAAACTGCTTTTCAAAGAGACAACAAAAGAGTCTTCCTTAGGGGATGCAGTGGATAAAATTTCTTGCCCATCTACCAACCGTTCAGTAGTCACATGTGTGTTTGCCTTAGAGAAGTGAATAAATTTTCCCTCGACCCGCTCCTGTCCCCTGGGGTTACACTCGCTTATCTTCATACACCTAAGGGAAGCATTCGGTTCATCGTGCCACGTCTTTACAGCTCTCCTAACCATGTCCAGAAAAATAGAGTTACTTGGGTAGTTACCTAAGAGTAAGGATGGTCGAGGTGCGAGCTGGCCTCAGAAGACAGTGGATGTTTTCGGTTCTCGCATAAATGCCTTGGAAGTTATCCACTAAACGTCTCCACCGGTTTACGCTACAAGTTAGTTCAGTGGTCCAGCTGGTACTCAAACATTCTTGAGTCTTATATATGACGACTGAACAGCGTTGGCCTTCGGAGCAGAATTTCATACTATTGTGGAGCAGTTACTGCGGTGACCAAGTGCTATTAGGATTGATCCCAATATCAGAAAGTTTATGGATTTGCTGACGGATGACCCCTCAACACGATGTGTTCGCATCAACGCGCGTTATCCCCGGAGGTTCCCAAAGTTCTCATGGAGCCTTGGGCGGAGAACCTGCTCGTGATCAGAGTAGGAGTACTCGGTGATGTACCTTCAAGCTTGCACGCAGCGTTTCGCTCTGCGCTATCATTTTCTCCGCGATCCACGAGTAAGGGAGTCATTTTTAACGTCATAAACTACTAGCGATGTAAAATGAAGATTAAATTCCATCGAACATATGTACCTCCTGGCTTCTTGTTCATCCATTTGAGGATGACTTGTTCGATCTGAGTTGCAGGCTTTGAATCAGTTTCGGAGTTGACAAGGCCTGGTCATGAACTGATGGTTAGGGCGTGGATTTATTTTTTGAGATGTGGAGTCTGAGGTCCTTCTTTCCCAAGTCTCCCTCCATCTGAGTGGTAGGAGAATAGACTGTTCTGGAAGTCAACCTCACAGGCTGGGTGGGGGGCGTAGTTTCTCTACTAGGGTTCATTTCATTCCCAAAGCATTAAAACTTCCTACTTCAACTTGCTTACACTTCTGCCTCCTTGTCTTACAGCATATCAGATGTGGCATGCATATTTTTCTATGAAAGGATCTGTTTCAAAGTTATGCTATTAGAGGGTAGTTCTCATCAGTCATTAGTTGTCACCTTTGTGCTCTCTTACGTCAGGACGCTCAGTACCATAAGCAGGAAAACTGAGGCCTCTGCAGCTCTGACTTATAGCACCGCACTATTCACGGTTGGTCTCGACATAATGCAGCTTCCCAGTTGGGTACGTCTGCGTAGAAGCCACATATGTAAGATGATAAGAGTCATTGTGATTGGTCCCAGATGACCCGGTACTTACCCCCAGTCCTGAAACGTGATTAACGAAGGGACAAGAGGTTGACGTGAGAAATCCGGGCGATAACACATGGCACTGGTAAAGTGGCGACAGACTGAAACACAACTCAACAGAAGGTGATAGATTTGATGGTGTAAACTTGAGGTAACCACCATTTTCTAGGTCACCAGACCTACAGCGGTAATGAACATGGTTTGAGAAAGATAAGAAACACCCTGTACTGTGTACTTAAACCTCCAAAGGGACTGCATATGGTTTCACCAAAGCCGCGGTGCTGCTATAAAGAAAACATAAAATTAGTGGTATAGACAAACCATCCATCATAAAATAAGCCCTTTAAACTCCCTACCATACTCCTTACACCCTCCCTACCCTTGAGGTCACAGTAACTATTTTCCCCTTACCCCACCCCGACCCTAAGCGTGCATACTAAAGCTCTTACTGATTCTCCAATGTAAAATGGGTCACCATCTCCAGTCATTTGTAATACAGCTAAAACTCGGACGTGGAAATGCCACATACGAAACTCTAAAGGTATTCTATAGGTACAGTATTAGTCCCCACGTCCCCTTTACACAATCTAGTCCTCAACATCGTTTCCCCAAATTCTGAGATAACTAACCACACCTCTCATACCTCTGTGTTTCCCTTTCTTATCTGATGTGTAGATTATGACCGAGAATCGCACTAACTTATACTCATCATTGAAACAAGCTCCGAATTTCTATTCAAAACCCACAAGCTATCGTTCCTTACCACTCAGAAAGCCACTCTTCCGGTGAGGAAGCCAAGTGAAAATGACTTCATACGAAGCACCGACCTTGAAGTTTTACTGAATGATTCCCTGACAAGAGCCCATATAAGCTCCGCCATAATATGACAACAGTAGCCGAATAGAATCAAGTCTTAGCTTAATTTATTCAAATGACTCCGTTTACAAAACGATGGACCAGAACATTCATTATGCCCTCCGCGGTGCCATGCAACACCGGTCCCGAATAATCTCCAGTCCGCCCCAGTATTTAACTCTTGGCATGCCATCTATAAACAGCACAAAATTATTGAATACTCACACACTTTCAGTTTCATTCACGCTCAACATCCGGTGTGCAGTGTACTCCTGCTGATTAGGCGACTCATTATTGCTAGAACAATGCCTGTAATAGGTAATTATACCGGTGTTCATCTTAGCTGCTGGTGTGTGACGAAGTGGCTTTTACCGAATTTTTCACCGGAAGTATCCAAACGACTGCGTAATGTGGGTGGCTATATATGGCGTGATGATTTATTCTTTCTAAAGTTTCTCAGAATAGCTGAGAAAAATAACATTCAGACGTTGCCTGTAAAGATGGCACGCCTTCGTGTAATTTATTATTCAAAATTTATTGTTATCATTATGACTTGTCCGAAGCTTCTAGATGGTCGTAACTGCAGTGGATATCTGGATAAATAATAAA